CCACATGTTATATAACCGCTACAATTTATGCTCACTAGAAGATTTACCTGGGATTGCCCAGGTCCTTCAACGCAGAGGGCTGGCGGTGTGGGGGGTGCAGGAGTCAGGTCAGGGCCTTGATTCTGTACTTTTTCTCCTGCATCTCTCATGCCCCTGAACCCTCCACATCCCCAAGGTGCAGGAGTCAGGTTGAGGGGTTAAAAGGGGCTGAGGACAGAAGGCTTGTCTCCAGGGGTGGGGGTGTTTCCTCTCGCCCTTCCCCTGGCCCAGGAATGAGGGGGCTGGCAGGGACTTTCTCCCTGCTCCATGCCCCTTCTGGGGCAGGGAGCCAGAGAGAGCTTTTTCTTGCCCCCAGTCCTTCCTGGGGCAAGGGCCAACTTCTTCCCCCTACCGCTTTCCAGGATGGGGAGAGGCAGAGGCTGTCTCCCAGGCAGGAGGCCCCACTTACCCAGTATAGTGGCAAGCAAGATGGTGAGCCTCAGCCCTGCTGGCCACTCTTTTGGTGGTACAGCTACCCCCAGTGTAGTGCCCGCACTCTGCAGAGCCCCAGTGCCCCCACTCTGCAGCATAGCTCTACCTTGGAGGCTTATGCCCCTAGTGGCCACTGTAGGTACACATCTCTCTTCTTTCTCCTTTGAGGGTGCCCAGGGCCACTAGCCAGGGTCTGTGGTGCCCTAGCTGTCACATGCAAGCTCCGTGTGGCGTGGCTGTGGCTCTTGGTCCCTGTAAGAGGTGCCTAAGCTCATAGCAGCAGGGAAATGGCTGACCGGGGGTCCCTTCAAGCACATTTCTCAGCGGGGTCTGGCACACGCCCACAGACGCCACTGGTGACCTCTTGCCATGGCCAAGCTGGTTCCGGGGCCACGTTCTTGCACAAGGTCATTCCGCCAGTGTGGATGCTTTCTTGCTCAAGAACTCATTGTTTTTGCTCTGCACTTCTGGCTGTGTGGACGCTCTCTTGCACAAGAGCTCTTGCGCAAGGAGCCGCCAGTGTAGACATAGTCTTAGTGATTTCAACTCTTTAGCTACTACCTAGGCTGGCAAAAAGATTCCAGCTTTCACTGGAATAACAAAAAGACTCCTGATGGAGTCTGTTTTAGGTTTATCCTTAGAACGGGGGAGAGAGACAGGTTGAACCAGCCTTACAGCTGACACCTGGCAGGCATGCCACAGGCTGGCTTAAGCCCTTTCCCCCCAACTCAGTTCACTCAGCTCTGGAAGGGGGAGGTTTGTTTATCTGAGACCCCTTACAATGATGGTGTCTCTCCTGCAAGCACTGGTGTCATATTTTACAGTTCCTACATACCCCACAGCAGCCACATTAGTTACAATACACCACATTCCATTCTTAGAAGCGATCCTCCATCAGCTCTGGCTGAATTGGATTTACATAACCACACCCAGGATTCCTTCCCCATCCAGGCATCAGCTGTATTTACGTATCAACAGTTGTTTATCTTGGAAGGCTAAACAATTTGGCTACATCTACACTGCAGGCTTTTTGTACAAGAACTGTTTTGCGGAAGAGTTCTTGTGCAAAAAATCTTCTTTTGCACAAGAGATGTGCTTTTGCACAAGAGCTTCCATGGCAGTGTGGATGCTCTCTTCCGCAAGAAAGCTCTGATGGCCATTTTAACCATAGGGGCTTCTTGCACAAGAAATTCATGTTGCCTGTCTACACTGTCCTCTTGTGGAAGATCTCTTGCACAAGAGGGCTTATTCCTCATGGGGAGAGGAATATCTCTTCTGGAAGAAGCCCTGTTTTCCGATGCTATGCTGTAAATTTACTTGCGCAAGAATGCTCGTTCAGTATAGACAGCCGGCAAGTTTTTGCACAAGAACGGCTGTTCTTGCGCAAGAAGCATGCAATGTAGACACAGCCTTTGAGTGAGCATATCCACCCCCAGGGCTGCTCTCTCCTTTTAGCTGGCTGATTGAAAGCAGTAGTTCAGCCCCTGCTTACATATCTATAACTACTCAAGAGAGAGATCATTGTAGATAGTTCTCTGAAAAAATCGACTCAGTACGCACCAGCAGTCAAAAAAGCAAATAGAATGTTAGGAGTCATTTTAAAAGGGATAGAGAATAAGACAGAGAATATCTTATTGCCTCTGTATAAAACCATGGTACATCTGGAATACTGCACCTCATCTCAAAAAAGGTATATTGGCATGGGAAAAGATTCAGAAAAGAGCATAAAAAATGATTAGGGGTTTAGAATGGGTCTTAAATGAAGAGAGATTAAAACACTGGGGCCTTTTCATCTTAGAAAAGAGGAGATTAAGGGGGATATGATAGAGGCCTATAAAATCATGACTGGTATGAAAAAAGTGAATAAGGAAAAGTTCCTATAACATAAGAACTAGAGGTTACAAAATGAAGTTAATAGATAGCAGCTTTAAAATCAACAAAAGGAGGCTTTTCCTCCATGCAGCACACCGTCAACCTGTGGAATATAGAGATATACCATCTTATAGAATAGGAAGGGACCTTGAATCTAGTCCCCTGCCCTCACAGCAGGACCAAGTACCATCCCTAACAGATTTGCCCCAGATCCCTAAATAACCCCCTCAAGGATTGAACTCACAAGCCTGAGTTTAGAAGGCTAATGCTCAAACCACTGAGCTATCCATCCTCCCTGTGTTTACAGATTTGTAAATACAGCTGATGCCGAGATGGGGAAGGAATCCTGGGTTTATGATTATCTGTCCCATCCTCCTTTCCCATTTATACTATAAGTTGGCAATAAAAATATGTTACAAGTGTGTTTGGACTCTGACTGCCTTTATTTTTAGTGTGTCAGAAATCTAGAAGCCATTGTTGTGTTCTGTTTAACTAGTGCAGAGAAAAAGTGTATCTTGGTCCCAGTCCTGACCTACACATTTTTGGAAAAACTGGCATGATTCTAATGGGCTTTGGAGAAGAGTGGGCAGTGGAAACGTAGTTGCAACCTTATCTACTTCTGTTCTATGATAGCGACAGATCATGTTTTAGGAATGAAGTAATGCGGTGAAATGGAATTTATGATATCATAACTGTCAAAAACTATAGGCCAAAGTCTTTCCTTGGATGCATGTACACAATTCCCATTGATTTTTCATTTGAATTGCATAAACATCTAAAAGAAAAGTTCAGTTTTCTGATTACTTTGCTGGTAGAGTATGACCTTACTGCAGTTCTTTCAGACCTATAAGTGGTTGTGAGATGAAAGCCTCTCATTCAACCATAACACCAGAGAGAGCCTGGAAAAATGTTGTCTAAATTAGTAAATGTTTGTTGCAGAGCAAAAGTCCCCCTTTATATTTAGTTGCCTCTATTCTTTACTCATACAGATTCATGTTCTGCCCTTAGTGCAAGAGTCTCTTTTTATATATAGGTGTATGAGCATGAAGATTTCTGATATGACTATAAATAGTGAAAAAGTAAAGTGGCCCCTGTGTGTAGATGTATTTCCACATGTTATATAACCGCTACAATT